GAGCCACAATAAAAACGCTTTACACTGAAGGAGGTTCCGCAAAAGCATGACGGCGGCAGGGCGCACCCGCGATCAGGAGGAACTGGAGCCGCAGTGCAGAGCCGTCGAGGGGCCCACCCCAACCCTCCCAGCTCCGGGTCCCATTCCTGGAGCCTCCCCGTCCCCCAGCGGACCCGAGTCCCGAGTGGGGGCTCAGAAGAGTCCTCGGGCGAGGGAGGCCTCTACTCGGATGAGAACAGGACTATTGGCTTTAGATTATTTTAGTAAGGCCTGCCTTTCACTGAGAAAAAAATCAGCCTGATTCCAGGTCCAAATAAGAACGAACTTCTAACTACATTTACATACAACTGCAGGCACAATGGACAAAAACTCAGTGTGAAACACTGCTACAGAGAAAGTAATACACCGTTTGGTCTCTTTTCAGGTCATCTGAGTGCTCTTGGTCTGGCCACAAGCGCATTCCACTTCAGAGACATTTCACATGAGAACTCGCACGCTTCCTCTAGTCAACAGGCATGCAAGACGTGACTGCGTGTGAAACGTAAGTATGTGAGATCAGTAGACTGAGAAAGGAAGGACGGGTTGGACAGTCAACTCAAAGTCAAGACTCAGTGAAGGGCCAGGGCGGGTGGCAGTTCCGGAAGAGAAATCAGCTCAGAAGCACAGGAAGGATGGTGTTGCCCCTACTTACATATGATTGACCGGACAGTCACTGGATTAAACGGAGTCCAGGTGCCTGAAACAAAGAGCAGAAATTAAGAAAGAGAAGAAACTCTGAATCCCCAGTTGTAACCCCAGAAGCCAGAGAAAATAAGTAATTAGCTTTCAACATCAAGACCCTAGAGCCACGGTTCGTTCTCCGCAGGGGACGCCGCCCCCAGGACGATGGGTCTGTCAGGTCCTATCCACACTGCCCGGGGAATCGCTCAGGTCCAGCCACACATTCAAAGCTGCTCAGGAAGACCTGCACCTGGAAGCTCACTCTTGTTCACTTTATAACCAAGAGATGCTATTTTAATACTCACTGAACTTCCCAGGGCCATAGCACCAGGTAAGCTGAGAAGATGGCACTAAGCTGTGCTAAGAACGTCACCAGCTACCACTTCAGAAAGTCCCACCCCAAGGGCACCACCGCTCCCAGGACCGGGGCAGCTGCACACGTCGTGCAGTGACCCTGCTGGAAAGCACACCGTGAAACCATGCTTTACATTTTTCTCCTAAAATGACAGTCTGGGCAGCATACTATTTTCTCTGAAATTGTGAAAAGGCAGGACACACTGTTCCACAATTCACTGCAGAGCAGTAAAGGGGATGTTACCGAATATCTATCATAAAGGAGCCTGCTGACACCGATGGATTTGACGATTGAGAACCATTTATCCACTGTGATGATGGACTGCTCACCAGGTACCCTTACGCCCAAGGATCTGTTTTCAGAGTGATTTGCACCTTTACCAATTTTTATACTCACTAAAAACAACATAAAAACGTTTTTATGGGGCGGGAGAGCAGCGTCTCTCCCCATCCCCCCATTCTTCCCTCTCTACAGACGGTTTCAGCTCTGGGTGGCAGAGTCCCATCCCCTGGCCACACACGAGGCAGCACCCTTCCTGCCTGGCCGCGACCACTGGGCTCCGAGCACGTCCCCGACCTGGCCCACATGCGTTTCTCCCGACGCCCAGCATGGCCCCCCAAACACACGCACACCTTCACCTCAACCCCTGCCTCTCCTTACGCCTCCGTTTATACGAGGCTTCCTCAGAGGAGCCCTCCTGAGCGCCCCGCACCCAGGCCCCTCGGTCACTGCATCTGCTCCAGCGGCGCCCTGAGCCTGGCCCGCAGCGGGGACCCCTGGGCACTGGTGCGCATCTCTGCAGACTTTACAGGCGTTTGGGGGAGGGCAGGCAGGAGGATGTATATAAAGGTATCGGAAAAGGTCAGCATCGTTGGAAACCAGTGTACAAAGAAACTGTGCTACAGAGAAGCCAAGAGAGAGAGGGGGACTCCATGTGCACAGAAGGGTGTCGCTTCTTCACCGTTCCTGACTTTCTAGCTGCCCTGGCTGGTGTTTCCACAGGAGATAACCCACCAGGACCAGGAGCCCGAGAAACCAAACGCAGCCGCTGGACTCCTTCCCGCCTTCCCTCCGCCTCGGACGCAGGCTGTGACCTGAGAGCCCTCGATGATCGCCCTGCTGAGCGGCCTGCACCCACTGCCCATCCCGGCTGTGAGCAGGGCTGCGCCCCTGGCCACGTTGGCAAATGACTCGGCCGAACGCGTTTTCCACAGAAGTGACACGAGTAAGACAGTCAGATGATGATGCAAACACAGGCACTTTTCGCGGTGAGGGCCAGGCAGAGGGAGGTGTGGACCAGAGGAACCGGCAGCCGAGCTGAAGGGCCGTGAGGCTCAGCAGAGTGGCAGGTCACCCCGGGCTGAGTCAGGGGTGGAGAGGAGACCCGCAGGCTGTCCAGCTTGGGAGGTGGAGGCAGGCTCCTGGTGCCTCCCCTGGCCCACCCTTGTTACCCAAACGGGGCCTGACTCTCCAGGGAAACCAAGGGATAATCACAATAGCCAACAGTTAATTGACTGTTTAGCTCATGCCAAGCCCTGTGGCCTGGTTCTCAGACTAAACATCAAAGCTTCACAGCCCCTAGTGAGGGCAACATTTAGTATTCCAGTTATACTAAGTGTTAAACACACTGGAGCGTCGGCCCGAAAATCTGCAGTTTTCTGTAAGAAAATGCACTGCAATGTGGACAAGCATGTCTAACAGAGCCTGCTGGAAATACAGGGTACACCGAGCAGCGAGATTCCCTTCAGTGCCAGTGACCCTCACCCGGATTTTCCAGGCCAGCCCCAATTGCAAACATTCCCAGTAAACAACATGTCTAGGAATGTCACAACCAGCAGCTTGCAAAAGATTTCCTGTCAGACTTTTACTTAGAAATACAATATATGGTCCCTGTTCCTGTAAGTCTTGCCTCAATTTCATCTGAAAAGACCAAAGAAAACAGAAACATACACAGTATTTTCCATGTAAACTGAGTACACCTAACTCTTTTCACCCATAATTTGGGTACGAGTGGGTCGCAGCTCCGTTGAGGGGTGGGTCAACATCAGGACACTTAGCATTTTCCGCTGTAACCGTCAAGCACACAGATGATTTAAAGAATTTATATCTGATCCCTTCTCAAATGAGAAAAAACCCCCGCTCTGCTCTGTGATAGTATATTCTGTTTTTTTGCTCTCCAGAGAGTTTTCTTTCTTGAAATTGCAACCTGTTACCACAAACTTGGACTTCAGTGAGAGATAACGGGCTAAGTCGTCATGGCATCCAGCAAACGCACACTGAAATACCTGTTTATCTGGAATCTTTGGGGGAAAAAAAAACCTTTTTTTTACAGCACCACTGGCAATCTCCTTCCACTTAACTGCATCAGATCTGGGACTCCCAGCCCTTCTGGGCATTTCTTCCTGCAAGCGGAGCCAAGTAGGAAGGGGTGAGAGCAGTTCTACGGGCTCGCATGGAATCGGCCAGGACACTGGTGCCTCTTCAGGGTCACGAACTCTGTATCCCACCAGTCTCCTTCAACTACGGCCTCAAAGAGCCACGACTGGAAATACGGCCTTTCAAAAGGCCATCTGAACACCATCGATAGCCATAACAACACCTACAGCCTTCGAGCTGATAAATGCCGCTTCTAGAAACTTGTTCTATGAAATCACTACAGTATTTACATCGAAGAAAATCAGAAACAACCTAAGTGTCTCACAGTGAAACTCTGTACACTCAGTTCTGATAGATGAGTGATGTCTCTGGTTCTGTACCAGGCGATGTGGGACCTGGTGGACATGGGCTGGGCCCGAGGCGGAGGGGCTAAGCCTCCAGTTGTCCCAGAGTGTGATCTGCCCAAGGCCAAGGTCGTGGAATAAAGCCAACCCTGTCTTCCTCTGCTTCCACCTGAAACTCTGCTGCACAGGTTTCTGGGACGAGCAGATACAACAGGCTGTGTTGGGGGCCTCCAAGACCACCCCCAGGCTTGATGACTCGCTAGGACTCACAAAACTCACAGTCAGTTTATTACAGCAAGAGACATAGAGTAAAATCAGCAGAGGGAAAAGGCACGGGGAAAAATCTGGGGGGGCCAGGCACCCGCTTCCCGGGGAGTTGCACAGGGCGCCCCTAATCCTCCACGGAAAGCTGAGACCACACCTCGCACGTGTTGTCAACCAGGGAAGCTCCAGGCAGCGAGGGAGCACATGCCTGCCGCAGCTGCAGTGCAAGCATGAGCCGCCCAGGCAGAGGGGCAGCAAGTTCCAGGAAGCAGCCAGCAGCCACGCAGGCAGGCCCTCCTCGGGGACGTGCAGGCTCTGAGCACAGCAGGTGCAGGGTGAAGACGGTAAACGCCAGACCCTCCGCTGCCTCATAGGCTGGGCCTATGACGGAGTGACAGTGAGGTGACCTGATGGGCAGTCAGCAGGGAACTGTCGGCTTATGTGGTCTGATCTCTCTCACTGCTAGTCAATATGGGATCCCCAGAAGAGATGAAATCTATTTTGCTAAAAATACCTCTAAAAGAATATATGACTTATTATTATTTAAAGTCCAGCTGAAAAACGCCTCCTCAAAATACATCAATATGTTATGTCAACCTAAACCTACAGAAGCACAAAAAAAGAGGCTTGAGCAAAATTAATTTCCTGTAATTCCAAGGAACAATGCCAAAGTAAAGATTAAAAAAACAAGCACCTAACTGAAGACAGTTTGCGACATGTCATTTCAAACAGCAGGCAAGACAGTCCTGTCTCTATTCACACCTCTTAACCGAGCAGTCATTCTCAGACGCGCTCCGGGGAGACAAGCTGCATAAAGGACTCAGTGTACAGGACCCACGAGTACTTCTTCAGGGCGGTTTCAGCTGGATTTTAACAGAGCGCGTCAGAGGCACAGATCTCACTGCAGAGAGAAACCATGCTACTTTGAACCTCCAGTTTTCCCACCAGTAACAAGCTAATTAAACTGATTTCCTGAAATAGCTTAATATTCTAGTCCTAATATGAAAAAAGAAGCCCAATCCTGGGGGAGAAATCAAAAGTCAAAAATAACTCCAATCGTATCAGCTATGGGAATTCGAGGACAGTGAAGAAAACTGACTTGTGTCCATCCTTGGTGACAGAAGTGACACGACACGACTGCAAACAAGAGGCCAGCTCGACCAGCTTCCTCCAAAAGCTGATGCCCGGTAGCCAGAGACTGCTGCAAAACGACTCCAGAGGAGCCAGGAGGAGGAAAAGGGCAGCATCCAGGAAAGGAAGGTGCCGCGGGTGCCTCGAGGAAAGGCAGGTGTCCTGGGTGGGAGGAGCAGAGCCCCGCAAGCGGTGGGAGCCACGGGGCACCTGTGCGTCCGGGGGCGCCAACGGGAAGACACAGGTGGGACGGCACAGGGGTGGGGCGAGCGCCTAGCAGTGCAGGCACACACCCGGATTCTGGTCCCGCTCTCAGCCTGAGGGCTCACCGCGCGCTCTGAGGCTGTGGAAGGACGAGAGATCTGTACCCATTCATAACCTGCCTTCCTGCAGAAAGGGCCGAAGGGAACGTACAAGATATTCACGGCACAGCAAAAGAAAGCAGACTCTGGTCATGCTGGATGGGAGGAGAAAAGCATATGAAAGTTAGGGGTCTCAGACTATCAGTAAAATTCACCTCTTCAAATTCTAAGCTCATGGGACTGGCAAGCCAGAAATTTAATTTAAAATTTTTAGCAGCTAATTTGAAGAGAAAATGTGACTGGTTACAAGATTCAGGTTAAGACAAACAAAACAAGACAGAACAGCCATCACAGTTGCTCCACACAAGAGGCACCACACCCCCAGGGAGGAGTGAGGCGGCCACGTGGGGGGAAGGGGGGCTGCCACGCCCGTCCCGCTCAAGGCTAGGCTACTACCTGCTTCACGGGACAAGTTCTTACATCGCCCCAACAGAAGCTGAGGGAATCCCTCAGGGCAAATCAAGAAAAGTGACTCTACAGGGCCGCTGTGAGACGGTCCTGATACACACTTTTCGGTGGGCTTAAACCAGGTACCGATTTCAAAGCATCTTAGGAATGGAGGGCTGAACATCCTGTGGGCAATTCTGTTAAAATTCTCTCTCCAGCAGGCTCCTGATTCAAGGGCACAGAACCATCTGCTTTAACAACCAGCTCAACTGGAAGCAGTACTGACTCCCTCTAGGGAAAATATTACCTGTGTTCACCTGTAAATACCAATCCACCAGCAGTAACAAAGAGAACATCCGTGGTGTGCGCCACGCGCAGGGCTGTGAGGCAGCGTCCGCCTGCCACACCACCAGCTGCTCCCACTAGGCAAGGTGAGCCTTTCAACATCTTCATTACCTCTTAAAGTCAATCCCCTTCTGGCTTAAATGCCACACCTCTGGACGGCACCACAAACGTAAGAATCAGAAAAGACAGTGGCATCTGACGGGTTAAAAAAAGGGCCACACAGCCAGGTATTTATGGAATCAAGGTCTTCAGTAGTACCTCCACGGATCAATCATGCTGAAGCCAGCAACAAGGCGACTCCACGGTGAGCTCCCAGCACCAGCACCAAGAGCTGTAACCCCCTCTAACCCATGTCTGAATGACTAGCATCCCCCACTGAGAAGCCCACCTCCCCGCGATCCGGCTGTCAGAGCCTCCAGTATCCTTAGTCGCTTCCCTATCGGTGTCTCTGGGGTCTTGATGCCCCTCTCCAGAGGAGTCACAAGACGCAGTCACCTGCGAAATTCAACAGCCCTCAACAAACCTGAAGGATGTCTGCCGTACAAAGCCGGGCTCCCTGCGCTCCTGAAGCCAACACCCCAGCCTCCATTTCTCAGGCTTTCCCCGTGTCCTCCATGCAGTTGCCCCACCCGCTCGGCAAGGACTCAGAGCGGCACCGACACAACCACCAGGAAACCACCCGACAAAACAAGCCAGAAGCTCCTCCACCACGGGTCAGAGATGATAACTAAGTCTTGGTGATTCGGGAAATAACTTAAGAAGAAAGTGATTCACTACGGGTGGTCGGCCTTGCGGTTTACAAGTCCAGACGGCCAGGTGCCACTCACCATTGGATAGCGCTTGTTGGAGCTCGTTGTCCGATATCACACCGCTCCTGTCTTTGTCAACCCTACAAAATTAAGGTCAGTTAAGCTAGCGATTCAAAGCGCAGGAAAAGCAAACGAGGGCAAAAGCAAAGGTTTGACTCTACAGTCAACCCTAAATTAACTCTGGCCCTTCCTTCCCTGGGCCCTTCCCTTCGGCTGCTGGACCTCTCAGTCCCATGACCCGCTGGGGAAAAAGGAAGCGCGCCTCCTTCGCTGTCCAGGCACGCTCCCTGCCGAAACCCAAGCTGCTTCTCCACTTTCTCAGGTCTCCCTCCCTCGGCCTGGCTGAATTCCACCTGCACCAGGTTTTCTCCTTTTCACAAGCAGGAAAAGATTCTCTCAGATAACTAAGTCGTTCCCTGATCATGAGTCACTCCACTTTGGGTCGTTCGTTCGCTGGAAGGACGCCCAGGGACGGAAGGCACTGCGGTGATGGTCACCTGCCCAACAGCCGCAGCCCGGCTTCTTTCCCGGTTGCTGGCATTTCAGCAGCCGGGGAAGAGTCTGCGTTTCTGCTCCCCTAAACAAGCATCCCTGGGAGACCCTCCGCCCCGGAGCAACTCCGGGCAACGGCTGTGAGGGGAGAGGGATGGAAGCCGAGCCCGAGGGCGAGCGGGCTGCGACCCCCGGCTGGCGGCTCTGCACCTTGGGAGGGGCCTGGGGACTGCGGGAGACAAGGCGGGGGGCGGAGAGAAGGCCAAGGGTGGGTGGGGGACGGAGCAGGGCCCGGCGTGGGAGAGGCCGAGAGGGACTAGGAAGGGGGCCGGACAGGACGCCAAGGATGGAGCGTGGGGGGACGGAGCAAGAGACAGGGGCCTGGGGGCACCAGGAAGGAGGCCGGACTGGAGGCCGGGGTCACGGGGCGGGGGAAGGCCCGGGGCTGAGACCAAGAAGAACGCAGTGGAGGCCCGCAAGCGCCTGCGCGGCCGGCCGCACCTCTGGAAGACGTTCCACAGGAAGCTCTGGTCCGGCAGCGCGGCGCCCGCGGAAGGGCCAGCCCCGGGGCCCGGGCGGTACGGGTAGGCGGCCATGGGCCGAGGCGCGACTCGGCTGAAGCACTCCTGGGACACGGACGTCTCCGGGCGGCTCCACTTCCGCCTACGCCTAGACCGGGGCGGGGGCCCGGAGTCACGCCACTTCCGGGGCGGTCACGAGAGCGAGCGCAGCCAATCCAGTCGCGGCCCTGTTGCCAGGCGACGCCCGTGCATCCGGCCAGCGTGTCTGGGTCCCATGGGCATCGCGCAGCAGGTGGCCTAGGCCAGGGTACCCCTAGGGTCGCGGACGCGCGTTGGGAGCCGCTCCCCGCAGCGCAGAGTGGACATGAAGGGCGGAGGCGGTTCCCTCGAGCATGGTCCATTCTTGCACCAAGAAGGTCGTGGAAAGACTGTGATGGAGGGGAAGAACGCGCCCGACATTCTTGTTTTTCTGGACTTATCGCCCGCCCCCGCTCGCACATCTCAGCGTCCCTGCGCCCCGCTTCCCAGGAGCACACGAAGCCCCGCCTCCGACATCTGACGGCGCCCGCCGCTTCCCGGCTCGGCCTGCAGGTGCGTGGCCAAGCCCAAATAGCCCCTGCTGGCCATGGTGGGCGGCTAGCGTGTCCCTCTCGGCCGTCTGGACACGACTGAGCCGCAGCGCACCCCGCGCAGGGAAGCCCAGCTTCATTCAGGGCGCTCCCGCCGCCTTCCAGCCTCTCAGGATTTTGAGCTCCTGATCCAATCATACGGACTCGTTTCATCCTCCTCCCCTACTTGGTTTGTGGAAGGGCCGAGCACCAAGGAAAAGCCTGACACTTCCTTCCTTGGACACGAATCCATTATTCAGCGCTTTGGCTCTGTATCTGACCCGCTGTTATTCTCCAGTTGTATTGTCCTCAGTCCTTTTTCTCTTCTAACCACCAGAGCATATGCTGGAGAGTTCTTTAAAACTCTTCAAAGAGATTAAGATACTCTGACTTGACACACAGATTATTATTCTACAAACCTCAACAATGTGGCTTTTTTCATGACTTAATGAATTCAAGTGTTTTCTAGTTTTATCCTCATAAAGCATTCACATCACTCGTTGACTAATCCTTTCTACAGTTTTCCACAGCTTTTTGATCTCTAGTTTCTGAAACCCATTTTTTCCTATCTCCCATCTCTGCCTCTTTTTTTGTTCTCTAGAAAGCTACAAAATTAGTAACTATGATTTTGCAACCCAATTTATAAGTTTTCCAGTACAGAGTGTACAGGGAAACTTCAGCAAGAAACTTCTCAGCGACTCCAGCTGGCCTCGGCTCCCTCTCCTGACAGTGTCACGGGTTCCAGCAACCCTTGATGGAGTCCAGCCTCGATTGCCGCAGCCAACACCATCTGTGGGGCCCAGGAGTGCTCCGTTCTGCTTTCCGTTTAGTTCCAGGGGTAGGAAATGATTCATTCAAGGGAAGAAGCATTTACTGAATCTCCCCTAGTGTTTAAATATTACTATGTGTAATCCTCACACCAGCACCTCGTGGCAAGGTATCCAGGTCCACATTTTACTGATGAGAAAACTATGCTGGTCTAAGGTCAAAGAGGCAAGAAGAGATTGTAGCCCAGGTCTGTCTGTACTTTTCCTGCATCATCTCACCGGTGGCAAGGCTGACTCTTAAAAGGGAGATTAATTTAGGAAACGAAGATTGAAACAAACAAAAAAATCATCCCCCTAATGTATACCCCTATATATGTACAAATGGGTCTAGGATTCATCAGAGACTGGCCTGGTGCTTTCGCAACTAGGCAGCCTCCGTCACCTCAGCCCTGATGCCTGAGAAACTGAGACTCTGAGAGGCTAATGGGAGTGCACACATGGGCCATGGCACCTGTGCTGTGCTCTAGGGCAGGGCTTAGCCTGCAGTCCTGGCCACAGACAGTTGCCATCTATTCTGGGCGCGGGGGGTGGGGGGGGGAGGTGTTACCTGGAGTCCTGACACCACCTTACAAAGATGTACAGCAACAGTGGCGACCGCCTTCTGACAAGAGAAGAAGGCAGACCGTTTCCTGCCCCTGGTGCTGCTCACCCAGTCATTTAAAGTATTGATGTGCTTTTGCCACTATCTCCTCGTCTATCTTGGGATTCAGTTCCCTCCTAACCAGGTCTGTTCTAAGCTTTCCATTTATATAGTGCTTCTGCGTGGAGGAGAGGAGAAATGAACTGAAAGACAACACTCCCCTAATATTGGGCCAGCCTTTCCTTTGGTCTAATTTCTCTGAGCTAATTGGAAAATGCCTCTTATTATCCTTAGAATTTTTCTAAACATTGGCCCTAGACATAGGGTGCTAGCACTCCTAACACTTTTCAGTCCACCCTCTTGTTCATCTGTCTTTGGCACATAGTAGGCCCTCAATAAACATGTTAAATGAATGGACGGCCAAGTACCTTATGTGCCCTCGTTCTGTCCTTTGTACGCTTGTGCACTCACACAATCTTGTGTTATCTACCTCACCAGCTTCCCCTCTGAAGACACTCCGGCTCCTTACTCGTGTTTATCTTCTTATCAGGACCACTCCGGCATTTGGACTGGAGACTTTTCCTCTTTCAGTCACTTTCCCCTTTTACAGCCTGGTGTGGAATTCCAGGCACAGGCTGACTGAGCCCTGCTCTCCCCTTCCTTTCCAACCAATACTCTTGCCAGAATTCAGATGAAAGCGAATGACCTTTCGGTTTTGTTTTTCCCTCTGGCTTCTTACTGAGTAGCTGTCAATTTACTGAACATAGGATGTTTAGTATAATGAGAAACTACCAAACATCTACACTAGCATTGGCCCACAGCACTTCCAATGAAGGAACTGCTCTTTATCAGCCATCCAAGTGTGGCTACTGAGCACGTGAGGTGGATCAAGGTGACTGGGGAGTGGAATTTTAATGAACTTAAGTGTAAACAGCCATGTTGCTATGGCCGTTGCTATGGACAGTGCAGGTCTGAATATTTTACTGTATATCTTACCTTTCTGCTTCTTTTGATACATATTAGAAATTATATCTCTCTGGGCAGTATTCTATTTTGTGTTTTTTTTTAAGATTTTTTTGATGTGGACCATTTTTAAAGTCTTTATTGAATTTGTTACAATGTTGCTTCTGTTTTATGTTTTGTTTTTTTTTGGCTGCGGGCCATGTGGGATCCTAGCTCCCTGACCAGGGGTCGAACCCGCAACCCCTGCAATGGAAGGTGAAGTTTTAACCACTGGACTGCCAGGAAAGTCCCTCTGTTTTCTTTTTATCTTGACTCACGTTTTTTTTTACTTCTCTGGTTTGTCAATTCCCCTAACACACGTGGGTTCATTGAGAAACCTTGAACACACATTTTATAAAACATTTCCAGTATGAAATATTCTGCCCGGTGGTTCCATACCTAGCGGAATTCCATAGGAACTTACATTTCCAGACTACCCACTCCCCAGTGGTTTTTTTAGTCTCAGAATGTTCATGAAAATAGTTTGAAGGTTTGTTTTTGGCTCAGAAGTCGCAGACAGACATAAGGAAACCACCCCCATCCATTATTCCTTTGCAACGATCAGCCCTCCTGTTACCCTCCCTTGCTTCAGGGGTACCTGTGCTAGCTTTGAATTCCCTGTCCTAACACTTCAACGCTGCTCAAATGCCCAGGTTAACACTCCCACCTAGTTTACTAAATGCCCTGGCGTCTACTTCCTCATTATACCCACTGGCTGGAATGAAGCGGTCTGAGGCTGTCAGCAGTCTTTCCGCCAGTTATTTTCTCCTGAAAACTACCTCCTTCATATTTGTTAGGCCACATCACATTCCATGCAGGTGGTTTTCAACGTGTGGTCCCTGGACATGTTAGGAATGCAAATTCTCAGGCCCAATCCCAGAACCTACTGAGTCACAAGTTCTGGGGCAGGGCTGGGAATTCTTTACCGAGGTGATGTTGATGCATTGAAGTTTGAGAACCACTATATTAGGATTGCAAAATGGTGATCTTGAAATTCTATCATTCCTCACTCATTCATCTGCGGAATTCCTCTGTAAAGTTCCCTGATCAACTAGGTTACCGTGAATTGCAATTTGTAGAAAAAAGGCAGGATAATCATTTCATCATTTTCCTTTAATTGTCCATTTTCGGTGTCAGGGTTAGTGCCCTAGTTACTTTCCGGAGTGACCAACTATATTTCTCGTTCGGTTACTTTTGGCTTTCTAAAACTATCATTATGAATTCAGTTTTTAATTTATTCCATCCGTTTCAATCAGATATGGCCGCTGCTGTTTGGACTGGTAAACATCCAAAAGCTCACCATCAAACTCTCTCTGCGAAGCTATGGGAAACAGGGACTGAGACACTGGGGGCGGAATGCAGCATGTCACAGCCCTCTTGAAGAGAACTTACCAGCATCTAACAAAACGACAAGTGCATTTGCCCTCTGACCCAGCAACCCTACTTCTAGAAATCCACTTCTAAGAAACTGGCTAAGAAAATGACTTCACAGTTACTCACTGTGGCATCAACACAAATGTCCTGCCGGGGACAAGGTACGCCCCGTGCAGTGGAGGAGGGCGCGGCCGCAGGATGAGTGACAAGGAAGGACCTCCAGGATATGCAGGCAAGGGGCAGGGCCGGCTGTCTAACACAACAGAAATACATACTTGCTTTCTGTTTTCTTAGGACACTGACTAGAAAGAAAAACAACAGTGGGTCCTGCGGAGGAGAGAGAGAGGAGCATGAGGGACAGTTAAGGAGGTGAGCTCTGAACACAACAGGCTTTGAAATCATGTCAATGCTTTACATATTTACAAACTTTAAATTTTTAAAGGCAACCCCTAAACTACAAAAATAGAATCTGAAATGAATGAACTCAATTGCCTCGGACTGGATTCTACAGAAGCCGACCCTGAGACAAGAACTTGGAAGGTGGCCCCAAGCAGCATCTGCATGGAGGTGGGAAAGGAAGAAACCCATCTGCACCCACATCAGTTTCATTTAGTATTTGGTCATTTAAATACTTCAGGACACACGTTCACATATGAAACCATTTGCTTCCTAAGAACTAGGAGGAAACGTCTGTTTTCTTCATTTGCTGTCAGGCACCAAATGCATTTTCTCTTAAACACACACTGCAGCAAAATTTCTGGATTCTGATGCAACACAATAAAAAGATAGTCACGTTTTATGTTTCAGGTCAACAAATATGCCTCAGGTCAAACAGTAAGATTTTAAAGGAACTTGGAAATCAACGCAAGTTTGTAACTTATGTTTCATCTAAGAATTGCGCCCAGTTTTATTATCTCTCAAGAATGAAGCAGGGACAAAGGCAAGCTGAACACTTCCTGGCTGTTGATGACTGGCGAGCTGCCGGCCTCTGGTAGGAATCTCTGTCAAGCGGCATCCTCAGTCACTCGAGGACAGTTTAAGAAGGCAGTTACAATGTGAACACGTGCATGAGCTATTATACATAATTACAAGAGCTGGTAAACTCCGGTCTCCTCAGTAGGAGCGGATGGCTGGGGGGACAGTGGCGCAGTCAGCCTCATTCAAAGTTCTGTCGATTACGGGTCTGTATTCCAGGGAGACCTAAGAAGAGTCGGTGATGAGTTAGCGCACAAAAACGTACAAACAACCCTCTTGTATACTTTTGGAAAATTAACCATAAAAGCAGATTTGCAGACAAACAGGAACTTAAAAACAAAGGTATTCACGGGAACATTTTTCAATAACAAACTCGGGACTGCTATGTAAATCCATGTATGGAATACAGCAATTAAAATAACACTGTACCAAATTCTCAATGCTTGAAACTAAAACTTAAACTGAAAATGCTCAAAAAGTGGGTGAAACCCTGTATGTACTATTATCCTTTATCCATAAATTATGTTTGTATTTGCAGTTTTTCCTACTTCTAAGTGAACAATTTTATATACATACGAAACTTGAAAGAAATATTTCAAAATGATAATAAAAGATCTGACTGGTGAGCTTATAAAGGTTAATTTTCTTCATTCTTCTTGTACTTTCTAAAATGAGCATGTATTTCTTTTACGATCATAAAAAAACCCAAACACTACAAAAGTAGGCTTGTATTAAGAGGATCGTCTGAATACACTGTCAGAAAAGAGCCTACATGAGGAACTATGAAAATTGCTGTCTGCCTGTATTAAACAATTGCACTAGGCACTCTAGAAGTATGAGGACACAGCATAACTTCTGTAAACCCAGATAGACAATTAAGACTATCCCTTAGGGAGCTCTGAAAAGTTTACACTTTACATCTTAATTATTTCTGAGTCTTAATGCCGAGCAGAAAGGCCAAATGGGTGAGTTATGCTTTGCTGGGGTAAGACCGACAGGAGCCCCACTGCTCTCTCAGCTGGTGGTTTCCAGGACCCTGCCGGCCCCCTGCCCCTCCCAACTTGTTCCCTGCCCGGGGAAGTTAAGAGCTGAACAGCATCCCCTGGGCTTCCCCGAGGCTGCGTCCAGGTGGTCCAGTCAAAGGGAAGGGAGGGGAGGGGTGCCTTCCCGCCCCACCCCCATCCCTGCCCACAGCTCTCTGTGGGCTCAGAACCCCCATCTGCCCCCCTACAGCAGGCCTCTGGCGCTGGCCCAGCCCTGCCCAGCACCAGCGCAGTGGGGGCGGCCCTTATGGACCACCCGCCCACGCGGGGTTCTGTTTCCAGGCAGAAGCCTGACTGTGTCTTTTCAGTGGTGTCTCAAATCTGTCCACAGTCCGTTTAAACCCATGCTGCTTCTCCCGGTTCACCAAACGCTGACCGGCATAACATGAGGGACGGCCCACGCGCCATGGCGTACGTGAGCAGAACCCGTTCCCCGCGTACCTTCCCAGTCCTGATGTCCACGTAGGAGAGCGTGTGCTTCCTCCAGTGCCCCTCAAACGGCCTCTTGTGCTGCCCCTGGATGGGCTTGGAGTAATCGTACTCGTCAACCCGCTCCTGAGGCCACAGAAAGTACGTTTATTTCAGACAGTGCCGTCAACAAACATTCTACGCGGCAAAATCAGAAAACATGGTAAAACACGGCAAACTCCTTAAAAAAATACACGAGACTAGTCTGACATTAATTCCCCAGATCCCACTCAACAAGGAGGTCTCCATCGGCAAAGCGGACCTCGTGCAGAGCCAGGACCTTCCCAGTCCAAGCATGTCTCTACAATCCCCACCGAAACCACGCGTGCATATCTGACCCGGAAGAGCACATGGCAAGAACACGCGCCACCGACCACCACACGCAGAGGAAGGCCACGAGACTCGGGATCCCTCAGCCAGTGGCCAGTCCTCTAGACGCACCCGTGGGCCCTCACTGATGACCTGTCAGTCCTCTGGACGTAGAGATAAGCCCTGCACTCTGCGCTGGCCCAGCCTAGGGCCCCCTCCCCTTTATTCATCCCATCTGCACCCCAGCAGTCTGACAAGGTCAGGCCCCGTGCAGCACAGCTGGGCAGCAGGCTGCAGCACAGTGGGACCCAGAGCTCCACTTCTGCATTTTCTCTCTACAGCTAGCAGACGGGTGTTGGAATTAAATTGATCTTTTATGCACTTAAAAATATATCAAATCCTTTTCCTGTCTTTTTGCTCTGTACTCTTGCAGAGTTCGACTTTTTCTTTCAGCCTTTTTTATTTAAATGTTCTAATTTTATCAATTATATTAAATTTTTCAGAAATTTTTAAAGAGAGGCTGAATGCTGCTAAGGAATATCTTGCACGTGGTAACAGATAAGACACACAAAAGCCTCTTCAAATAAAACCCAAAACATCCAACTACTTAGCAGCTTCTGCTGAGGGAGGCCAGGTTCTTGCCGGGGGCAATGGGGCGGGGAGCACACTCCCTCACTCCGCACCCGCACCCGTGCCTCCGGGAGGGGAGGGACGAGCCCCCCAGGGTGAGAGGGCTCTGCCTGCACATGTGCAGTGACGTCTCAGCCGCAGGAACCAACCACGGGCTCTGGGAGAGGCTTCTCCCAGACCTGTACCTTAGATGCCCTTTCTCCATGCTTGGTGCACAGGACGAGTGTGCTCACCAACCTCCTCCTCTAACCAAGTACTCAGCAACTGGAATCCAGCTCCAATCAGTGTCTCGTGGTGGATCGAAATCCAGCTCGTCTTGCCCAGCCTCTAGCTGAGCCACCCAAACACTGTCCCGGACCAAAGCCTCTGTGTCCACCATGGGAAAGCAGCTCAGCTCCTGCTAATGTGCTCCATCCTTAACTTGACCGCCCCCAAACAACCGCTTCCGTGAAAATCTTAACTACCACATGCCGAGTACTCTTCTCTGAAGAATCTGATAAGTGAGCTCTGCATAAAAACCAGTTCATTAAAACAACGGGTGATCCAAGATGAGGCTCTATAATCCTTTCCCAACCCAGAGGTGGGTCTGAAACAATGAGTTACTCATCACTTCAAGTCAGTAGGTGAGCACTTCCAGGCAACAGAACCCGCTGCACGCTAACCTTCGCCCTAATGAGGCTGAGAGATGCAGCACCGGATACTGATCCAAAGCCAGAACAAGGTCAAACTAGTACGGAACTCGGCGAGAACAAAGGTACGAAGGTTATCAGAAGAGAAAAAGCATTCTTCTCAACTGACTTGCGGGAAATGCAGAGAAAGTGCAGAGAAGTGAATGCAGAGAGTGCAGGGTCAGGGCTGAGCAACGCAGCGGGGAGGACAGCGGTGCAGGCGGTGGTGGCAGTGGTGGGCGGGGGGCGGGGGGGGGTTGGACATGAAGGTGCACCTTGAAATCCTCCCTGGCATGAGCGCCGCGAGACTCCTTCCGGGCCTCTGCTCCATAAATGGTCTGCAGGGCACAAAGCATCAGGTTCTGCAGCTCCAGGGTCTCCACCAGGTCAGTGTTCCAGACCATTCCTGGGCACACAAGGCAGCCGTCAAAGACAACAGGATGCAGCCAGTGTCCACTGGCAAGGACGAGTTACGTCAGCGTTAAACGGGTCGGGCTGCGCCCAGAAGCAGCCCGCCCTGCAGACATCCAGCAACAACCGTACGCAGGGGCCCGAGGAACCACTCACCCCTGTCAAACGTCTTCAGATGCTTTAGATCGCCATAGAGCTTGCTGATCTTCTCACAGCCTTCCTGTAACACGCTTCCCACACGGAACACTGCCGCATGACTTTGCATCGACTGTAATACAAAATATTTGTAAGCTTTTAATCCATGTGGAAAAGCCACACCAAGAACTGTTAAACCTTTAGGTTCTTTTTCTTATGCATTTCATTTTTTGTAAAATATTTATGTAAATAGAAAAACTAGGAAATTCAGACTGTGACTTTATTACTCTGAATTCTAAAACGAAGTTTGTTTGTGAGAACTTAAAAGACCTACTCTTTAAGCAACTTCCAAATGTATAGTACAGTAACATTAACTATAGTCAATATGCTGTACGTTAGATCCCCCGGGCTTATTTTCATCTGAAGACTTGTACCTTTAGATGCCCTTTCTCCATGCTTCTGTTCCTTCACTCCTGCCCCCTGCCTTACCATCCCATGAGGCCTCCCCGAAGCCCAGTCTCGTTTGAAGATAGAACCACAGAACCACAGTCCTATGAGGATGGCCACATTCACCTCTTCCCTTTTGGTGGTGTCTGTGTGGATGACCCAATGGAACCCTTTCAGGATGCAGCTAAAGCAAGGGGCTCCTTTCCAGAAAATGCCCACACACAAATTCCTGCGAATAATTTCAAGTGGATAAAGGTCTCATCCCTGGACCAAGAATCCCGGTATTACAGAATTTGATTGATTCCTAGCTGTTTTATTTACTTATTTATTTATCTAGAGTAGTCAACTGGTATTTTTAATTGACCTAAACCTGTGTTACCTCACGCAGTAGCCACTAACCATGTGTACCTACCTACATTTAAACTGAAATTGAATAAAATTAACTTAGACCGGCCTCATTTCCCACGCTCCACTATCACGTCAGAAATACAGACCGTTCCAGCGGACGTGCTGACGCAGGTGAGCACGGCTTCCGCACGCCACCCACACTCCCCTCCTGACCTCATTCAGAGGCATCAACGGGCCCAGTTTAAAGACATTTCCCAGAGTTGCCGTAAGTAGGTGTGATGATGGGATTATTCCTCAGCAACGAGACGTGCTGGGCTTGGGAAGCTCCCAGCTGGGAACCGAGCTTCTCGGACCTTCCACTGTCCCTCCTCCTTCAGGCTGGGACAGAAGACCAGGGCCAGAGACGGTCTGAGCAGGGAAGCTGCAGCAAACGCCTAGCACGTTTGAGAGAAGGCTGAGTCCTGATGCTGCAGAGTTGCTGTGTCTGCCCTGGGCGGCCCTCTCCAGCCTTCAGTGTGGAAAGCACACCCTTTTATCTTACTCGGGCCTGAGCTCGCCTCCGTGACTCAGCAACCCCAGTGCAGGGCTACCAACGCAGCTGGCCCGCTCATCCAGAGCGTGTCCAGACTCCTACCTTCTGCATGTTCAGCCGTAGTTCCGATGTTCTTATGCTTCCGTTGGCAAATCTCAATTTGTCAAGATTCATGACAGATTCTTCCCCAGCATTTGGTTTAATCAAGGGAACTTTATCTCCTTTAAAAAAGACAAAAAAAACAAAAAAAACCACCAAATGTGTATTATACCTTTGCAGGGAGTTCGGAAAATGCATGCATAACCTGAGTTAATATTCCACCTGGACCACTCTATCCCTGAGGAAGCATCTATTGACCTGGGGCCAAAGAGTAAACAAAAAGACAAAGTTTCTGGCAAAAAGTTGGTGTCCAATAAGTAATCTTTGAGTGAACAAAACAGAAACCCTCTCTTAAGGTCAAAAATTAGATTTATGCAAACAAACCTTGCACTGCTACTCTGTGAAGGAAAAAAACTTCATCCTCCATAACTATTCTCATTCTGCCCAGCCCCGTTCTGGTTCTCAGACCTGGTTGTGGGGGGGGGGGGGGGGGGGGGGGGGGGCGGGCGGCACCTGGCTGGAGGTATTTAACAGCCTCCTGCTGACCCTGGCCCTGCACCCCCTTACATAAACCTCAAGATCTTCTGTTCTTGCCTTTCTAAAAAGATAAACACTTTGAGGGTTTTTAAGCTGCCCTGGGATGACATGTTTTTAAATGTATTTTCTGTAGAAGGTAACGCACGCAGGTGTGAAATACAGAAGACAAAGCCCTGCAGCCACTCTCTCTCCGAGGCGAGACCTGCCCAAGCTCTTCTAGGCAGGCAATTTTGCTAGCTTTTGTTTTTAATGCTTTAAAAAACGATCATTCCGTAAAATGGAGTTTTATCCTTAGGTGCACTGTTCTACAAATTTGAACACACACGTAGACTCCTGTAATTATCACGATCAGACTATAGAATTTAAGCATTTTAACGTTTAATATAGTCCCACTTTGGGGAAAGTAGTGGGGCAAACACTTTTCCTCTCCTTTTGTCTTTAGAAACTAAAGCATAACGAAGGTGTGATACCACTTTTAGTGCAGTTTGCTGGTTTTGACAAGCAGAGCTGCGTCAGCCCCACCACAAATGGACCCAGACCCTGGTGACCACCCACCGTCTCCTGCCCCAGCTTCCCTTCTCCAGATGCCACACACAAAAAATTGCACGTACGTGGTCTCTTGCGTCTGGATCACACAGCCTAAGACCCACCCGTGCTGTGCACGTGTGGGCAGTCTGTTCCTTTTTAATGCTGAGTTCCCAAGGTTTTAAACGCGTGCATTGATCCTTCAGAGAGAAAAGTATTCTCAAAACACTTCCTTTTTCTCGCTGTCAAAGAAAGGGAACCTCAGATTTTCTGTTTTGCTCTGAGAGATTGCTCCCGGGCTCTGGCGACAGCAAGAGGAGCACTAGAGCTGCCGTGAGACCAGCACACGCAGCTCTTCCTCGGCAAATGGCTTTACGTCACCACAAAAGAAAATCACTGACGGAACTCCATTCTCTCACTGAGGGGAGAGAGCTGTGACCCATCTTCTATTTTGTTTGCATTAACTCCTCCCTTTCTCCCTTAACAGATTTAGTTATAGTTTGTTTTTAGTATTTTATTAATTTTCTCTAAGTACCAAAAAATTATATATTCATTTATACCTACCATTTAAAACATTTCCTTGGAGATAAGTCATACCAGACAAGTAGTATGTGATAAACCCCTATTAAATAATGCTTTCCCAACAGTGATTTTTCTGAGAACATGATGACTGCAAAAAAACCTGACTGAAGTTACTCTTCTAACTGCCCCACCTACCCTGAGTCTAGCCTCAGGTCTCTCAGCATAAAAATCTCTGACTTTCTGTTTCCTCGCTTCCAGGGAGGGAAACCGGACGCCCGCTAGTGATCGAGATGCAAAGCGCCCTGAAACAGCCAGACCGCCGGAAGGAGCACGCACCAGGCTTGCAGGACTCCGCGATGCTCAGCGCGCACGCCCGGCCGAAGACGACCAGGTCCAGGAGCGAGTTCGCCCCCAGCCTGTTGGCGCCGTGCACCGACGCGCAGGCAGCCTCCCCACACGCGTACAGGCCGGGCACGACCTGGTCCTGGCCGCCCACGTGCTTCAGAACCTGGCGAAGAAGACTGAGATTACGGGGTGCGGTCTGCTCAGCCCCCCTCCCCTACAGTGGGGGGTCGGAAGGAGAAACGGTAAAAACTGGGCCTGCACCACCGACAGGGACCCCCACAGACACCGTGCAGCCTCCTTCCCTGGCCCCCGTGCCGAAGTCAAAGGACCCCAGGGCCACTCCACACACCCGGCAGCGCCTCACCCACCTCCCGACGTGCCCCTGCGTGCCCGCTCCGACGGTGGGCTCACAGCAGCGGAGCATGGCGGGCGGAGGGCCTTCAACGGGGAGGCGGGGGACTGGAGTCGTAAGTCAGCCTCTTACAACAGTCCCACCCAGCTTACAACAGTCCTGAGGACTGAAACCAGGTGACTAAAAAGCTCTTTGTGAGCCGCAAACCATCCAAAGGTGTTAACTGTAAAGAACACTTTGTAACACACAACCATGCAGGAAAAACTGCAAATGACCTCACGTCTGTGACTGCGTACCAAGAAGGGATGAATCAGTTATCAGCGGTTACTTGAGGTGTGAACGCAGACACCGCAGCCAAGCCAGGGCCCCTGTCCTGCCCACAGACTGCCCAGGGCTTCTGAGGGAGGCCCCGCGTGAGGGGCCTGCTGTGGCACGGGCTCGGCACCGTTACCTGCCCCTTGTAGTTGGTGGGGATGCCGCCCATGTTATAATGCACGGTGGGAAGCACAGGGATCGGCTCCTTGGTGACGTCCACACCCGCGAAGATCATGGCTGTCTCCGAGATGCCAGGCAGGCGCATAGCCAGCTGTTCCGGGGGGAGGTGGTGCAGCTGCAGGTACACGTGATCCTTCTCAGGGCCACAGCCTCTGGTGAAAGAGGACATCACGCCGTAAGGTCGAGAACAGCAATCCAGAAACCGTGAGGTCACAAAATCCTGGCAGCACACGAGGTTCCACATGCTTTGATGCTGGAGAAAATGCTCCCTTCATTAAGGCCACCTTTTCATGGTGTCTCTTCTCAGCACCCACCATGTGCCAGGGTAGACACCAGGTGCTGGGATGCAGCCACGAACACGACGGAAGCCCTGCCCTCACCGGGCTCCCACCTGAGGGTCGGGAGGTGCCAATTTGCCACACTCTCCCTGGTGGATGCGTTACAGGGGTCTTTCACACCAGATGCTCCAAAGAACCACCTGACGTCTCCTTTCTTGTGTGCGAACGTGACGCCTCACCCGCAGATACTTAACCAGCGTCACCACAGCGGCACGAAGTCCGGCACTGAAGCCTCACGCTGCTTCACTGAGGAACAAACAACCCACCCACCTTGAGGGCCCCAAGCACCCGGGAGTTCAAGCAGCATACCAGCTGAAGCTCGCGCACTGCACTCAGGACAGGGGTGTGTCTTCTCCCCCATACTGTCCGCTTCTGTCACACACTCACTCACACACACAAACCATCTGAGATGGACTTACAGCTAACTGGCTAAACTTCTCAAATGTAGAGATCCTAAACTGACAGACAACAGTCAGAGGTAACTGCACATAGGCCTCCGAGGTGGGCGGGGTGCCGACACTCACACAGAAGCCCCCCAGCCCATGCTGAAATGCAGACACAAACCACAGCCACCAGAGGGGTGGGGCGTGCAGACACGCTCAGACCCCTCTGCGTACACGCACACAGACCTTCCTTCACGGATCTCCAGGGTCATGGAGCGGGATACGACGTCCCTGGATGCCAGGTCCTTTGCGACAGGAGCATAGCGCTCCATGAACCTCTCGCCTTGACTGTTGATAAGGATGCCTCCCTCTCCACGGCACCCTTCCGTGATGAGACAGCCAGCACCGTATATGCCTGCAAACAACGAACTGATTAAACAAGTATAACCTAAGGACCGCTGGGCCTACATCTCAAATGCAGATGTTTTTCCCAAGATACTTTGGGAGGAGACAGAAAGGATGTGCAAAGAGCACCACACTCACGAGCGTAAGAGACGAAAAGTTAGGGCACAGCGCAATGCCGCGGTATGAAGAAACGCAATGACCAAGCTGCAGAGAAGAAAGGTCGGCTGCGTGGACGACGCGGCTCCGCTCAATACTCCGATGACAACTGTGCTTTAAACTCTCAACATGACAAAGTTTATGTTAAGTACCTCGGTTTTAATTGTTACTACAACCTTACCAGGTTTTAACTGCTGAATGTCCTTCTGCACCATGAAATCGTGTTGGCTCCTGTAGGTCCAGAGATCAGCTTGGAAATGTGGCGTATCAAGTAACCGAACAATACGGCAATGATCACTACACCCGACACTTGGGCTGCACCCGCTGTGTACAGCCCTAAGTCTCACCACAACCTGTGGGATGGTCCCCCTCTGCCGAGACAAGCCCACCAATGCGATGCCGGGAGACGCAGAGCCCCAATCCAAATGTGGCAACGGGGAGCGGGGAGCTGCGCCCCGATCTCAACCGTCCCTCTGCGTAAGGAGCACAAGGACGCCCGGCACTGGGTGTTGCACGCCCAGCGTAGTTTGAAGGTTATCACTTTTATTAGTGCACCAAAGGGTTACCTTGCCTTTAAAACAAGGTGCAAATTCCTGTATCTCATCTTCCAGTTTTCCTAGTTTCAGTGGCCATGTCTTCTGGTGGTTTATTTCTCATACGTTGAAAAGGAAGCAAAAGAAATGGAGCTCTAACTACAGAGGGAATTCCGAAGTCTCAGACATTGTACTGGTTAAAAACAGCAATAAGACTACCACCTACTTCTTTTTACTACTCATCCCTGCCAGGGTCAGAAGGAACACACGGACGGAGCAAAGAGAAAAAACAGGCCCTGTTCTTTCGTACAGTGGCAGCTCCTCAGCTGACAGATCAGTAAACAACCCAGAAACAAAGTTCAGGATGGGATTCACCAACTCCCCTCCCAGGCCCCCTCCCACGTTCGTGCACTCATCACCCTCGCTTGTGGACATCTCAGGGCCCCGCCTGCCGTGCTCTGTCACTGTGGCAGCCTGCCATCTGTCTGTGCCACTTCTCCACTCAAATGCATTCCCTCTGGCTCTACTGACTGAGGCCCTACCATGTGCTGGGCGCTGCGAAGACAGCGGTAAATGAGACAGACCTGCCCCCGCCTCCCAGGCGGAGCTGGCACCCTAGTCGAGGAGAGGAACACCAAACAGTCACGGCCTCGCGTCTGGCTAAGTGCGCCGAGATAAGGCGCGGAAGTAAGACGCTGGCCTCCACTGCCTTGGGGGACGCAGGGAAGAATCTCCTCGGGGAAGTCACGAGTTAGGATGTGAGATATGAGAAAGCAAGTGCACGTAACTGCAGAGGAGCCTTCCCACAGGTACCGAGCACCTGAAAGGCACAAAGAGCCTGATGCCATCCTACCTGTGGGGTGGAACTGAACAAACTCCAGGTCCTGGCAGGGAAGGCCTGCCCTGGTGATCATGGCAGTGCCGTCCCCGGTGCTGGTGTGGGCGGATGTGCAGCTGAAGTAGGTGCGCCCGTAGCCTCTGGAAAACAGACAGGCCGGCAGAGAGGTGACTGCACAAGCGTCCCATCAGGACCTCCTTTCTAATGGACTGGAGTGGACCAAGCACCCAGGCAGCACCTCTGTGGGTGCATGTGCACACGCTGCCCTGGGCAACTGGGACGGTAGCCTGGGGGGCAGAGAAGGCGCTCTCGCTTGTACCTCAGGGCGCTTCTGTGCTAAGTAACTGATTTCCCTGATAAAAATGTATAAAATAATAAAACCTAAAAACATTTATGGATGCACTTCTTAAAACGGTTAAAATAACAGACTGACAGTATATAAGATGGAATTTACTTATTTTCCTCATGTGAACAAACAACACTCTTCTACCCCAGAAATCAGCGTAAACACAGCATCCCTCAAAGCAAAGGAGACGCTACTCCAGACAGCATCAGACTCTCCAGGCCTGTCTCCTCAAGGGTCCTCCCAGCTATGAACTGCTGACACTTTCTTGCCGCCGTGAGGCAGGTGTCGTCCCTCAGGCCCACAAAGCCACCCCTTGCCGGGTGAAGTCACGGCCTGCGCCTGAGCCATTACTCCGGGACACCCCTACTCTCATCAGAATAAATAAATTCAGCTCGCCTGCAGAGAAGTTGAACACGACTAAACCAGGCTCTTACCCAGTAGCTACAACAGTGTTCTTTGCTCTGATGCGGTGGATGGACCCGTCTTCTATGCACAGAGCAATAACTCCTCGACACTCCCCGTTCTCCATCAGGAGATCCAAGGCAAAGTACTCCACAAAATAGCTGGTATCATATCGCAGAGACTGAAAAAGAAAGAAAAACAACCAAAAAGAGGGGTCCCACATTTGCAATTGCACTGTTAAAGCTAACAGATTAGAGTGGACACAGGGATCAGGCGGACCCTAGCGGAACACTGGCTTGGAAAAGGAGCCACAGACTTCAACCCAGGGATGGCAGTGCTGATGCATCGTGTGACAACTCAGCTGTACAAACAATGCACCTCAGAAGAGGATGCCGCACGTGGGACACATCTCTCAGCTCTACACACCCCGAGAGGCGCCAGAGAGGCAACACTAGCCTCCCCTCAGAGCTGCTGCGAGAGCTGCGCCCGTGGACCATGGGGTCCCGACTTAGACCAGGGTGTACTGCACGGCGTCTGCTGCCGTATGGCCACTTAGTCCAAGTAAAGCAAAACGCTCAGCACATTTGTGATGACTATCAATGTAATTTTTTAGAACAGGTACTTGCAAATTAACAACTATCAAGTTACTCTGCTGCTCAAAAAGCGATCCCTGGGCGGACAGGCTGACACGCTGACCTGTCCCCGGGGTGGCCTGCTTCCCATGTCACCACACGCCTGGCCTGGCCGCGTCCCACCACCCTGTGCACCCAGGGCACCTCACCCTTCCATACAAAGTGTGCAGCAGCGAGTGGCCAGTGCGGTCGGCCACGCAGCAGCACCGATGGGCCTGCCCGCCTTTCCCGAACTTGAGGCTCTGTCCACCAAAGGCACGCTGGTAGATCTTCCCATCTTCAGTTCTGCTGAACGGCATGCCGTAATTCTCCAGCTGAGAAACAGAAAAACACCGAGCGCCTTAACGGGATCCAGACGCTCACGGCTAACTCACGCTAGAACACAACACAAACCTGCAAGCCCCGAACAAACACATTCTACGGAGAGCCCAGCAGCAGAAGGCAGGAGCGTTCCCGTTAGAGCAGCTCGCTGCAGCCTGCCGGCTGAGCACTCCCACCACAACCCCCCCTGCATCGGACAGCCGGCAAGGACGTTACCTCCACCACGGAGGCCGGGGCCTGCTCCGTCATGTAGTGGATGGCATCCTGGTCCCCCAGCCAGTCGGAGCCCTTCACGGTGTCGTAGAAGTGCCACCTCCAGTTGTCCTCCTCCATGTTCCCCAGGGCGGCGTTGATCCCCCCCTGAAATGCCAGCAGCCCCGTGAGCTACAGCAGACTCACCTCCCCACTGCCTCCTGCCCGGAGCCAGATTCGGAAAAAGCCAGCTACTCGCGCGAGAGGGCCAGTGAGGGATCTCACCGTCCGGCAGACTCCGAAGCGCATCTCCTCCCCCTGCAACCTAGAGGCAGGGCCCAGTTACGGCATCCCCCAGCCTCAGGCGCCTCACCCATGAGAGGGACACGGAACCCAACCCCTTGGGGCGTCATCTGGAGGGTCGGCCGAGGTTCCTCAGATGAGGCTTCTTCCTTACCAAGCCCGGCATGTAAAAGGGATTCAAATCTAATAGCTTCATGACAAACGTTCCCAATGGTACTGGTGTGCAGGCGCTAAAGGCAGAAGCGCTTCCTGCTGAGGGCTCAGAGCCCCAGCCCCCACCCCGCCCCAAGCCTGCCCCTCAGTCACAGAAATCGCCGTACACCCGCCCACCCCCCCAAATTAAAACTGCACATCTCTTCAGATAATCTTTCTCACAAGGCACGCTAACCTCCCTTTCTCCCAGTTGTTGCTCAGTCGTAACTTTTGAGTCAGCACTCTCATTGGAATTTCTTCAGTTGTGGCTGCTGTGCGTCAGTTTCCCACGTTATGCTTGGCTACCACTAAACGAGTCACTAGCACAGAGCAAGGAACGCTGGACAGACACGCACCACGAGTCACCACGTTCCTTCCTCCCTCCTCCATCCCCTCCAATCGTAAACCCAAACACAATCCTGATAAAAAATGTTAAGTACCAGGGCAGCAGAATGTAGAAAGCTGGTTTAAAATAATGCAAAAACGAAACTGCCTTCCAAAGGGGTTATATAAATTTATATCCTCACCAGCAAGGTAAAAAAATGTGTTTCCCCATAGCCTTGCCAACAGAGTTTTGTCAAACTTGGAGTTTTGCTAATCTAGTAAGTAAAAAATAATATCTCAATAAATAAATCATACAAAAACATGTGGCCCAGTGCATGCAAAAATGCTGTTATCCTTCCCCCAATTAAACCTTCTTTTCTCGAGAACCAGCATTCAAGTTAAGCTACCCTTTTCTCATTCTTTTTATTGCATTACTATTGCACTACCTGAAAACTGCATTTTTTGCAATACCGCTCAAAATTACCTGCTTAGATCTATTCTTGCTTTTAGACAATGAATTATCCAAGGGTATTTATTACTTATTCTTCAGTTTAAAAAGCACAGCTTTCGAACAAAGTATCTAGGCAGTTTAGTGCGTAAAGAATGTGGCTGGACCCTGACTATAGCTATTCCAGATGTAACGGTGATGGCAGCTCTTATTGCTTCGTAGAAAGTCAGCACATCCTCTGTTGTCTCAATGGGGAAATGCGTTCAAATACCAGAAAAGATGGTCAAATGTGATTGTAGAATACTACCTGCATACCAGCTGGGCACTACCTATAGTGTGCCTAGAGTGAATAAACAAAATAATAAAGTCACATAATTTCCCACCTTACTTTTTCTTCCTCCCTAAATTCAGAGCATTAAAGGCCACTGTTTTCTGTGCTGCAGCTTCACACCATCATCAGAGCTCATCACCACCACTCGAGGTCTGCCGAGGTTCCTCCGGCAGGTACAGAGCGAGCCCACAACAAACTTGTTCACATCGGGTAAGGGCAGTGAAGGAGCTCACACCATGGTGGAGGCGGGCATGACTGGAGCAGAAATAGGAGTGACAACAAGGCTCTGGGCAGTGGGGCGGGGGCAGGGTGGGCAGAGACCTCCTGGCGAGGGAGCGCCAAGAACAGAGGGAGCCCAGTGGAGGGCGGCCCGCGGCGGGAGGCTGCTGTGGTGGAGCGCCGGGCTGTGCAGTGCCTCGCGAGCACCAAAAGGACGGAGAGAGCCCTTTCTCATACCTGGGCTGCGACGGTGTGTGACCTGGTGGGAAAGAGCTTTGTGACGCAGGCCGTGTTAAACCCTGCTTCAGAAAGGCCAAATGCAGCTCGCAGGCCCGCCCCTCCGGCGCCGACCACCACTGCATCGAATTCATGATCCACTACTGGGTACTGAGTAGAAATCTGGAAAAGAAAACGCCCCCTGTCAATCACTGGTTCAACTAGGCCAGACACTGAGGCTGTGGTTACGGTGAAAGAGAGTCATTGCCACGCCCAGAGGGCCTCCATCCTGTGCTGAGACTGCACACCAGGTACAATGCAGTAGTCACAGCAGACGTGGTGGGCTCACCCTCGAACTGAAAGGGGACGGCAAACAGCTCTCATCAATAGCAGAGCACCAATCCCATGGAGCTAGGGCACCCACCATTAGTTGAAAGGCCGAAAACGAAGTAGGGGACCAGAGATGCAAAGGAAAGCAACATCACAAATCAAAATACCAGTTCTAACTACGGTTTTTCTTTGCAATTATCCTTTTTACTTATCTTCTCTTTTTACATTTATACCCACATACATGTACAAATCTAAGCTTACAGTGTAGTATAGTTCATGATCTGAAGCTTCTCATGAAAACACTGCAATGTTGTTTCATTTAGATAAGGACAGTCCATTCACCTGAGTGACCATCCAGGAACCAAGGACACAAGTCTACTCCAGGTCCATGTTGTATTTACGACTGAGAAAGCGCCAACAAGCATTCAGTAACTATTGTGAGCTTATGAGACAGAAACTTAGAAGCAAATTTCAGTTTCTTCAACAGACCACAGAAGGGCCTCGTAAACACAGAAGAGCCCAAGTTGCTACACAGTCCTCAGCTGAGGAGGGTGTCTGTCACCATCCGTTCCAGTAAATACTGTTCATCTGACATTTGTATTTCATTATTTTTTTACTTAAAGTTTAATCTGGCTTACAGATATGTAAGAGCTACAAACAAAAAAATGTTAATATCTATGCTTGTATTTGTACTATAATTAAGTATTATTACACTAAAAATAATGAGCATGAATGAAAAATTTTTAAGTAAAACCTGTGTTACTCAAATACATTAAAACCTGGTATAGAACCCTACTCCGTTAAGTCAAAAAAATCACTTATAACAAAGTCATGAACTTACTGCGTCTGAAACTTTAGCGGACGACCTCTTACTGCTATCAACGGTGAAGTGAAAACTGCGGGCTCCTGTGTGCGATGCTGCTGGCCGCTGCTGAAACACAGATGGAACACTAAGTGTCTTCACGGAACAGGGGACTTGTAATTAAAACTTCCCTTCTAAGTCGACAACCTTCTTATGTACCCAGGTGCTCCCTTTTTAAAAAAAAAAATTAATTAATTAATTTATTTTTGGCGGCGTTGCTGCATGCGGGCTTTCTCTAGTTGCGGCGAGCGGGGGCTACTCTTCGTTGCGGTGCGTGGGCTTCTCACTGTGGTGGCTTCTCTTGTTGCGGAGCACGGGCTCTAAGCGTGCAGGCTTCAGCAGTTGTGACATGTGGGCTTCAGCAGTTGTGGCTCGCGGGCTCTAGGGTGCAGGCTCAGCAGTTGTGGTGCACAGGCTTAGCTGTTCCACAGCACGTGGGCTCTTCCCCGACCAGGGCTCGAACCCGTGTCCCCTGCATTGGCAGGCGGATTCTCAACCACTGCACCACCAGGGAAGCCCGCTGGTGCTCCCTTTCACCCAGAAGCCTTACCTGGAACCCTCCACTTAACCCTGAAGGTTAAGGCAAGGGCTAAGGACCCAGGGCAGGCCCAGGAGGCGAGGAGTTGGCACTCCAGCGAAGGCCCTTCTAGGTGAAGTTTGTTTCCAGACAGGACACTGACTCGGGAAATGACAAAAGGCACACTTTCACATTAATGTCTGAATTTATGGTACTTCGTGGAGAATGGGGAAGGCATCTGTGCTGCCTGAGTGGCAGTTTTGCCAAGAATGAAGTACCTTCCCGGGATCCATCCCAGCCCTCTGCATGCTGGAGCTCCCCTGTGAGGTTCTGCGGGTCACTGGAGGAGGCGCCAGGCAGCGCGTTGGGAGTGGGTGCTCCAGAGCAGGCTGTCACTGGGTGTGGTGACGTCCCTTCCCTGAAGACGAGAAGATTCGGCCCCAGAGATGCTCCTGGTCCTGCCTCACCACTCTCCACACCTGCGCTAGGCTCAGCCACGCCCCTTTACCTGGCATACTCCACGCGCCGTTCCCTCTGCTAGGACGCCTGTCCCTGGGCAACCTCTACAACTACAAGTCTCAGCTCAAATGTCCCATCCTATAACCATTTACCCAAGAAAATGGTATTAATGAAATCACAGCCCAGCATGAGAGGCAACCTTCTCCATAGGCTAGCAATGGTCAGCAACTTAGGGAATGAGTTTTTCCATTCTGCTGACTGCATTTTACTAGACCACTGATAAAACAGTCTTAGAAATATCTTGAAGAACAGTTTTGGGAAATAAGTACATTCAACGATGACAAAAGGGATGCCTTCAAGTATTCTGCAATTGGAAGAGATGTTTCAATTCTGTGGGGAAAGAAATTATGCTATGGGACAAACAAGGGGGGATAACAGGGAGGAGAATTACCAAATACAAAATGAACTCCAACTGAGCTGTTTGAAACTGGACAGACTTCCCTGTAAGTGAGGGACTCAGGCCGGAGCTGGACGACCTGACCGACTACTTGCGAGCAGCGCCAGAGATGGCTCCCTCTAACTCTGAGACTGAGTGGTAGCTGACACAAACACTGAGTTGACTTTAATAGCGCCGATTCAAAAGTAGTTTCCTGGGTTTTTAAGTAGATCTGAACTGATAAGAGTCATACTCTTGAATTCTCCATTTGCAATGTTAAGTACGTTTGTTTTTATGGACAAGACCACTCTTTCAGATATGAACTAAAAAAACAAATATTTTTCAGCTGTATAATTTTTAAATGGTAAAATCATATTTTAACAAAAAACTAAGTCCCTGAAAGAATTCTAATACAAATGTTCTTGAAAATTTCATAAAGAATAATATAAATACAGCTAATAGCACCAATAAGAACAGTACATTTTGATGCCAAATTAAAATTAAAACAGAAACCGTGAGATTCCCTATTTATTTCTTCTTTCTAGGATGTTCACACACACACACACCCCCCACAAGCACACGGTTAGCTTAAAAAGCAGTAGCTACCGTAAAGAAATCTTTAACAAATTATCATATTATCTCTGTGGAAAACAGTAACATTATTTTTTGGATCTAAATCCAATTTGGGGAGTGATATTAGAATCTGGAGCCCAATTTTAATCCAATTTCTGTCTTTAGATAAAACTTGTATTATGTCACTTCTTAATCTAACGTTTTTTGAAGAGAAATTATCAAACCTTTCCCAAGAGGGTAACGAAAAAGAATGCAGAAATCTACCTAAGGTAGAATTAAAAGAACACAGAGACAAATCATGAGAAATCATCAGACAAACCCAACTTGAGGGGCGGTCTACAAAATAGTCAGTATTCTTCAAAACTTTCAAGGTCATGAAAATTGAGGAAAGGCGGGGAAGATATCGCCGACCACAGGGGGCTAAGGAAGCACGATGACTAAATGCAACATGGTCTCGTGGACGGGACGTTAATGAAAAAGATCCAGGGGCTTCCCTGGTGGCGCAGTGGTTAAGAATCCGCCTGCCAATGCAGGAGACACGGGTTCGAGCCCTGGGCCGGGAAGATCCCACATGCCGCAGAGCAACTAAGCCCGTGTACCACAACTACTGAGCCCGCGTGTCACAACTACTGAAGCCCATGTGCCTAGAGCCCGTGCTCCGCAACAAGAGAAGCCACCGCAATGAGAAGCCTGCACACTGCAATGAAGAGTAGCCCCCGCTCGCCGGAGCTAAAGAAAGCCCGCGTGCAGCCACGAAGACCCAACACAACCAAATAAATAAATAAATATATTTTTAAAAAATCCAAATGAAGATCTAATAGTCTTATATCACTGCTAATCTCTTAGTTTTGATAAGTGTAACACAGGAATATAAGATGTTAACATTAGGGAAAACTGAGTGAAGGGTGTGTGGGCACTCTCTGTACCCTCTTTACAACTCTTTGTAAATCTAAAATTATTTCAAAATAAAAAGTTTTTTTTTAAAAAAAAAAACAGAACACAGAGCTCTTAATAGCATAAAAGTACAGGTGACTGAATTAGGAGGAAAAGGAGAGAAAAAGTGAGAAGGGTAGAGATACTGATGCCCTCCATCCAGCAAAGTGGTGCTGGGGGCTGTCCTCATCTAACAGAATACACCTGCGAATCATGAACAAGAAACCAATTTGTAAGCAGAAGCTACACAATTACAAAAGTAGACCATAAAGGATCTGAAGTGGTTGCATAATTATATTGGGAGAACTGAGGATGTGGGTAGGAGGATGGTTTAAGTGAGCTAAATCCTCATTTACCAGCAAAAGTCAATGTCTAAACTGGACAAAAATGCACCTGCATTATCAGCTAGAGAAATGGAGGTAAACAGCAGGGGCCAATACCAAAAACAGTTCAAAATTGTTTCCACTGGGGAAAAGGTCTGGGGAAGGAGGTGGTCTTATACCTTTTCACTTATAAGGGCTTCTGTACTGACATTTTCTTTTCCAACTATGTGTAATTATTTTCACTAAAAATGTAAAGGTTTTTAAAACAGGGATGTTTCAAATACCATTCACATGATCACCGAGGGCAGGCTGTGAGCTGTGGGCCTGGCACGGAGGCCAGCTCTCCCAGGTCACCTCACAGAATCCTCATTCACCCCACGGAGAAACCGAGTCTCTTCAGGACGCAGCAGCTCTGGACTGGGTCTGCCCGGCTGGCTCCAAATCCTGTACTGTCCCCACCATCTAGGGACCCCTGGGGAAAATCTCTGGGACTCCAAACTAAGATGAATATCCAGGCTGTATGCCCAAACTGAGCCACAACTTTTCAAGTGAACCAGGAAGAACATGACACGGAATGCAGAACTGAAAACCAGTGGCATTATAATTATCCCAAGAAACAAAACGTTACTACAGTGGCCTAAATAATGTAAATCTAGATACACCATTAAGACATACTCAGAATGATACATTCAAAGAGAAGCTGACTTATTCTAGGACAATATCTTGTTGAAAATTGAGAAATCTCATCTGAAGGGAGAAGGTAAGCAACTGAAGTTCTTGGTTACCTTCCCTTTCGATTTAACTGTCAATACTCTGGAACAGTTTGTAAATTCTGTCAGTGCACTGGGACAACGGGAAAGGAAACAAAGGCAAAATAGGTTTGATAATTTTGTAACTTTAAAGCAGCTGTAAATATGACTTGGAAACACCACAGAATTGAACAAAATGAGATAAAGAAAAATTTTGTGGACTTTATTCAAATTATCCTCATCAAGGAGGCTTTATGAACATTCCTCGGCTGGAGATCATGAATTCCTTTCTTTTTTTGTTCTGCTAATTTGATGCTTTTGTTCTTGCCAATCTGAAACTCCAATACACAGCTTGTGGACAGATTAATTTCCATAGGCGGAAATAATTTCCAAAGCTATCTACATCAGAATAAAAAACCTTTAGAAACCCAAGACCATCTTCGGTAGACCTAACCTGTGGTTCAACTTTGCTAACTCTACCTTGCCATCATGTTCACAACCACCTGAAAATGGGACCATGGTGAAGATTCAAGGAGACAGTGGAGCGCAGTGCTGGCAGCCAAGAGCGGGTTCAACCGAGATCACTTCCAATCAAGCCAATAGGAAAGGAGAGGTTTATGCTCCAACTTGTGGTGCGCCGGAACTTTACTCTTACTTTCAGCTAAAAGCTCACAGCTGAATTCCTTCCAGCCCAGCTTGTGTAAAGGACGGCAATATTTTCATAAAATGGCAAAGGGCGAGGAGTAGGTGAAGGGTGTCTGCAGGATGGAATAAGGAACTCCTGGTTCCAGTCTGGTCTGAAGACAGACGTGTCAGCTCTTCCCCAGTCACCACCACATACCAAATCTGTCATCTCACCTAACGATAAGGGCCCACTCAGAAGTTTGCTCAAACTTTGTTGACTAAAACTACCGCACTGACCATGGACTTCATTTCCTGCTTGTGGACCCCCTGCTACAACTGTGTCTTAGAGCCCAAGATTTGGGGGCTGGGGGAACCTCTGCTCAGTAAGAACCAGCAACACATGAAAGCATTTAAAATGCTTTCTAGTGTTGGTAGGTTGTCCGACTAAACCACCTCACATTTAACATTAACTTTTAATTCCTGTATTTTAAAAAGAAGAAAACTGTGGGTATAATTACAGGCATAAATCAAGTCAACATTGTTGAAAGCCTTGGTTCCCACTGGGACCTTTACTTTGTAATTAAATTACTAACTAGTAGGCTCGAGGAGTTCATGTAAAAGAACCAAATAACTAAACCCTCTAAATTCAGTGCTTCCAATAAAACCCCCCAGGGCTTCCCCGGTGGCGCAGTGGTTGAGAGTCCGCCTGCCGATCCAGGGGACACGGGTTCGTGCCCCTGTCCGGGAAGATCCTACATGCCGCGGAGCGGCTGGGCCCGTGAGCCATGGCCGCTGAGCCTGCGCGTCCGGAGCCTGTGCTCCGCAACGGGAGAGGCCACAACAGTGAGAGACCCGCGTACCAAAAAAAAAACCCCAAATCGACTCTGAAGGCCTCACCGTCAGGAGTGCAGGGGCCACGGTCCAGCAGCCAGGCCTCGGGAAAGCACATCCCGGACCGACCCGAGTGGGGCTAGCGGGACTCCGCAGCCCAGGAAGACACCCGCCCCGCGTCCGCCCCAGTGGCTTTGCGGTCAGTGCTCAGGGGTCACCGCACAACACCCAGAAGCAAGGCCGAGCCTAGTGCCGGGGCTCCGCTCGGATCCCACCCGCCCGGGTCCACCGCGATCAGGCCGCCCCGGGCCCGTCCCACCGTGTGACCTTGGGCGGCCGCGTCCTGGAGCGCGCGCCCGGGGCTGAGCGGGCTGCCTCGGCCGTCGCCCCGGGCTCCTGACCGGGCCCTGGGAGGGGACGGGTCCCGGGCGGCCCGCAGCGTCGTGACCTTCACCGCGCCGCAACCCGCTCGGCTGGAACAGAGTCCGGCGGGCCCTCCCCAGCCCGCCCCACCTCGGGGTCGGGGGCGCGGGACCCAGCGTCCGCCCTGCCCCACCCGCAGCGCCAACTCACCGCCCAGGTCAGCGCTAGGCGCCGGGCGCGAAGCAGCCGCGACACAACCCCGATCCCCGACACAACCCCGATCCCAGACATGTCTGCCCTCCGCCACCGTCCCGCCAGTCCCCGCGCAGACCGCGCCTGCGCACGTCGCCGCGCTCGGGGCCGACGGTGGTGGGGCGGGACGCCGCGCCTGCGCACATCGCAGCGCCGGGGGCCGACGGGGCAACGCGGCGCCTGCGCAGAGGGACGAGCGGACGGCGGCGCTCAGGGCACAGGAGCCGAGACCTCCCGGCCGGAGGTAGGTTGGGGTCTGGGGTCGGGGGTCTTCACGGGCTCGCCTGATTTCTCCTTCGGTCCAGACGGTGCTTCGAATTTTCTCGAGTTTACGGCAGTTTTGGGAGATGAACCGGTGCTCGCAGGTAACGTGGTGTTCGCCCCGCTTTCTCTCCGGGACAGAGAGGGAGTTCCCGACGTTTAGGGGTCCCGCGGGTCCGTGCCGGGTTCCGCTGCTTTATTAGGACTGCGCGTTCCGGAAGGCGGACCCTGTAGGTTACCGGGGGGTGGGGGCGCGGACCCTCCAGTTCATGAGGTCTGGGGGGCGCGAACTCCATAATATAGTTTACGGTGTCGGGGTGGGGGGCGCAGGCCTTGTTATTTATGGGATCGGGCGGGCATGAACCCTGTGGGGTGGGCTGGGGGCGCGCGGACCCTGTCGTTTACGGCAGCGGTCCCCAGCCTTTTTGGCACCAGGAACCGGTTTCGTGGAAGATTATTTTTCCACGGGGTGGGGGGAGGGGATGGTTCAGGCAGTAATGCGAGCGATGGGGGGGGGATGCGGAGCGACAGGTGAAGCTTCGTTCACTTTCCCGCCTCTCGCCTCCTGCTGTGCGGCCCGGTTCCTAACAAGCCGCGGACCAGTATCGGTCCACGGCCCGGGGATTGGTGCTCCCTGGTTTACCGGGTTGGGGGGAAGGGAATGCTGCTCCCAGACCTCCCCTATGAGGGTTACGAGCTTCACTACTTTAGATCTCTTTTTTATTCTGTGCTCACCACAAGCTCCTTAAGTACTGAGGCTTTTTGTGTGTATGTCATTGCTTTATTGCCAGTTAGAATTTTATATCTTTAGGTGTTGAACAAGTATTTATTGAAAAGCCTGTTAAGAGTCTTTGAAGTTGAATTAAGTTTCTTTTGACTATATTTGCTTCGTCCTATTTGTATTTCAGTTATTTGAGACACATCTTCTCCCCCACGGTTTGTGAGTTGCTTTTGTCTGAGGTCTTGTTTTTTTCTTTTAATCCCATAAGGCTCAGTGCTGTGCAGCGCATACCTAGATCTGAACAAAATTTTTTGAAAGAAAAAAAGTCTCACAGCCATGTAGGTGATATAATTGTGACCAATGTATTTTGTTTTTTGTGTGTGTTTAATGGTTTTATTATTTACTTCAAGGTGTATCTCCATGAATAACTTAAATGACCCCCCAAATTGGAATATCCGGCCCAGTTCCAGGGCTGATGGGGGTGATGGAAGCAGATGGAATTATGCCCTGTTGGTTCCAATGCTGGGATTGGCTGCTTTTCGTAAGTCATCGTTTTCCTAATGTGTGTTTTCTGGGCTGAAAGTGTGGCGCTCTAAGATCTTGGGCTTTGGAACCTGACAGATGTTGACTGTAAAAACAAATGTACAGTGTGAGAGCTATGAAGACTGTAGCCCAGGATACAGTCTCTCAGATAGCTGTTAGGAACTGCTCTGAAGAGGCAGGGGAGGAGCCAGGAAATACATGTGGTCCAGCATACGTCTGGGTAAAAGATTAGTACTTGTCACAGAAACCCAGGTGTGTCAAGTTAGTGCCTGTAGTGCTTACCTATGTGTGGGAAGATGCAGGAATTTGGGGTCACTGAAATTCTTTCTTAGTCATGTATCTTAACGCTGTAGGGTCCCATGTATCCAAAACACAGAGTGCATTCACCCTGAATCCCTTTCCGGCTGAACTTGTAGGTCAGTGACTGTGGCTAATGACTTAATCATAAATGGCGGGCAGCAGTCTTTGTTTACAGAGATGCACGTGTACACCCTAGTTTTTTCGCATATGGTACATTGTGCGCAAATTATTTACCTCTGAGCCTCAGTTTCTCTGACCATCATAACTGCCTCAATGCAAGTGAGGGTTAAATAAGAAGATATTTAGAGGCATTTTGTGTGGAGTGAGTTCAGTAACTGTTAGCTCCCTTCAAGGCTGTACAGCTCTGAGGGGGGCTCCCTTGCTTCAGTTGCCCTCATAAGCACTGATGAGGCAGAATAAAACAGGCATAAAAGAAAACTGGTTTTGTATGTCTGTGTAATGTTTAGGAAATCAGTCTTTGGGAGGCTTCATCCATGAAACCTCTGCTCAGGCTGGCCAGAAATTCTCTCTACTTTGAATCGACTTTGTACCTCTTTGGGGAAATTACCAATCACCAGTCAATTGTAATTATTCCAGCTCTTAGCTTATATGCCTACTACATGATGAATTTCCTGATGTTTAGGGGTTGGTTTTATGTTTTGTCACTGTTGCAGAAGAAGAAACTTTCCTCTACCCTTTTAAGTTCTTCTGGCTGGTCTAAGAATTAAATTGATATGAGACAGATTAACAGGAGAGAATCAAACAAGTTTTTAACATGTATCCATAGGAGAGACTCAGGAAAATTGAGTAACTTACCAGAATGGCATAATCCCTCACCTTAAATACCATCCCAAGCTTAAGACAAAAGAGGATGTTGAGGTTGGGGAGAGTTAGTTACCAGAGGAGACTAGGAAAAGTACGATCATCAAGGGTAAGGTTGTTATGCAGATACAAGCTCTAGCCTTTTCCTATGATAAGAGTTTCCAGAAATTTGGTCAACCTCTTCCTGGTACAGCCAGGGAGACACCCTTACAAATGCAGAACTCCCTTATAAATATAAGTGTTTCTTACAAAAGGGTAACTCCTACTTGGCTTTCAAAGTTTCTCCCATGTCTGCTGTTTCTTAGAAAATAACTAGTTGAAAATAATCCCTATGCCAAAGAGACATGTTATTTCTTTTTTTGATAGGTAGGAAGTGGATTTATTTAGAGAGAAACACACTCCACAGACAGATTATGGGCCATCTCAGAAGGCGAGAGAGGCCCCGAAATATGGAGTGGTTAGTTTTTATGGGCTGGGTAATTTCATAGGCTAATGAGGGGGAGGGTTATTCCAATTATTTTGGGGAAGGGGTGGGGATTTCCAGGAACTGGGCCACAGCCTACGTTTTGACCTTTTATGGTTGGCCTCAGAACTGTCCTAGCACTGGTGAGTGTGTCATTTAGCATATGCTAATGTATTACAATGAGCGTATAATGAGGCTCAAGGTCTACTGCAAGTCAACTCGTCTGCACTCTTGGACCTAGTTGGTTCTAACCAGTTTTTGTCATGTCCTATGGCTGTGTCATTCTTTTAAAGGTTGTGCCCTGCCCCCTTCCTTCCTGTTTCATTCCCCCGTCGGAGATTTTACTCCCATATTTTTGTGGGAAGCAGAGGGGCGATGGTCCATCTTCTGAAGTTGCTTTGAGGCTGAGTAGGGGCATCGACCCCGCCTGTCAGGGAGTAAAAATCTCTAGGATGCCTGATCTAGGGGCCCCAGGAGCAGGACAGCTCCTTGTTTTAAGTCGGTATGGGCTGGAATCCTTGCATAGCCATTGTCTTGATGTGGAAGTGTTGTAACTGTTTCCTTAGCCTTCCCATGAATCTTCTTGATGATGAAGCACTTTTTTGTAACAGCATCAGAGTACAACAATAACTATCTATAAATGACAAAAGACTTAAAAGACTTAAAAGACTTAACCATCTGATTACATTTAATTTAACAAACGAAATAATCCTAGTTAAATGTTTTTCTTTGAGCTACCTCAGGGACCTTCTAAAGTACCCCAAAGTTAGCTGGAAATCCAAAGAACTTTAATTAAAATTTGATATTGGGAAGTTTGTCAAAAAGTTTTGAAAGACTTGGTCAAATAAGATCATAGGTCAGAGACAATACTTATTTCTTAACCAAAGTTAAAACAGATCTTGAAAGCAAATACAGATCCCTTTAAGGCGAAGTAACTCATGTTATTAAAAGCAGTCATTCAAGAAAACTTTGCAGGGAGAAACCAAATCCCGTCTTGCCCCAGCCCACTCCCAACAAAAGCCGTTTACCCAACTAAGTTTAATCCAATCTTAGAGAATCTTGATCATGTACAACTCTTTTTATTTATTTATTTTGGCTGCACTGGGCCCTTGTTGTGGCACGCGGGCTCTAGAGCGTGGGCTCAGTAGTTGAAGCACACAGGCTTAGTTGCGGCATGTGGGCTTAGTTGCAGTATGTGGGATCCTAGTTCCCCGACCAGGGATCGAACCCAGGCCCCCTGCATTGGGAGCTCGGAGTCCTAACCACTGGAACACCAGGGAAGTCCCAAGATCATGTACAACTCTTTTTTCCAGTATTTTTTTTTCTCACTCTTTAACCTTCTTTTACTGAAAACATACATCTTTCCTTAAAAGTTTTTTTTTTTCCCACTTCAAGTTACTTTTCTTGCTGACAGATTTGCAACATACAATAAGGTCTTATTTGACCTCTAGTAAACCTAGGTACAGCAGAAGTACTATACTTAACATTGATGACTCTAAAGACATACCTGTATTAATCAAATCAACAAGTTTAAGCCTCCTTCAATACCAGATATTAATTTAATGTTGAATATTTCCTGGATTGCGTGAACCTGAAATTCATTCTGGCCAGTTTTATATTCCTGAGTATTTATATAAGCACTTAATTTTTTTAAGTCAATTAAGTAGAGCTTCTTTACAAATTAATTTTGGTAATACTATTCATCTACAACACACATAGATACATACAAAGACACAAACAAACACAGAGACCTTATAGTTCTCATTTGAAAATTTCAGCCCTCAGTCGGGTACAACAAGGTAAAACCCATCAGTTACAAGGGGTTGGATTCAAATTGGGCTTCTGGCAGATGGATCAAATCAAGGTCACCTGTCTAGATGGCTAAACCCTTTTTTCTAATGTTTACAGAAAAGACACTTAGGATTTCTTTTCGTCCTTGACAAGTCAAGTTCCAAATTACCTACCCCGTTTTTGAAATTTGCATTTTATTTTATTTTTTAACCCAAATTCTTTTTTTTTTTAATTTAATTTTATTTATTTTTGGCCGCATGAGGTCTTCGTTGCTGCGTGCGGGGTTTCTCTAGTTGCGGCGAGCGGGGGCTACTCTTCGTTGTGGTGTGCCAGCTTCTCATCGTGGTGGCTTCTCTTGTGGAGCGCGGGCTTCAGGAGTTGCAGCACGGGTCCTCTGCATTGGCAGGTGGATTCTTAACCACTGCGCCACCTGGGAGGCCCGAAATTTGCATTTTTATTTATTTATTTATTTATTTATTTGAAATTTGCATTTTAGAAGGATGCTGGAGATAAGGGTTGCTGGAGAAGATCTGGTAGACATTTGCATCTTAAAGGCATAGGCAAGTGAGGCAAATGCCTCCTAGGATGACTTTGTTTTCTTAAGGCCAGAAGAAACAAGGTTTTTTCCCCCTAAGAATTGAGTAGCCACCTCAATGATATCAAATGACTGACACCCATTCACCTATGTGGCAAGGTTTTACCTTCCCTCATATAGCTAAGGAGAGGAGAAGGCCTCCCCCTCAAACTCCTGTCAGGCCCCAAATGTCAGCTGTGGTCAGACCAGTGGCCCCCCATTTTGGTTACTGCTGTTTACAGGGATATTCCCATCCAGGTCTTAATTTAATCGTCACCAGTTGGATATTTCTGGCCAAGCCTAGAACCTTGATATTCTGCACTCCTACTAAGGCTTCTCTTGCAGCTCCAGATTTAATCTGTTACCTTCCGCTTCCGGTTAGAATCATTTGGTGATGAGGGTGGTTCCCTTGCCCCTTGAGAACCTTAGTAAGGCCCAAGGGGCCCATTTAAGGGTGGCATGTTGTGCTTCCCTACATCATACCCCATGGTTCTGGGTAGGCACTTAAGAATATGAGAAACGGGAAAAAGCTGCCCTCTGTCGCAGGGGTGCTTTTATTTTTAAATTATATGGAACACGTCACGGATTTGTGTGTCATCCTCCAGCAGGGGCTGTGCTAGTCTTCTGTGTTTTTCCAGTTTTCTTTTTTTTAAGTATATGTGCTGCCGAAGTGAGCAGGCAGTGGTACTTTTTATGAGCGGCCTTGTGTGCCTGGATCTCTTAGGTGAGCAGGTTTGAGTAGAGAAAGTGAAGGCTGACGAGTAGCATTTATCGGCTTCATTTGTCTGCCTTTACTGTTAGGCTATGCTAGGGGGCTACTTAACACCCATATGTTCGATATGATTTCTTAATCTTACAATAACACATTTTTGGAGAATCCTTACAAGAAAGCAAAGTTAAAAGTTTCCTCTGATCTCATTACCTAAGCAAGATAACCAAAAAGAAGAAAATACAATATTCCTCAACCCTTCTGAGGGACAAAAAGCATCATTTCAAAAGTATAAGAAAGCAGGAACTTCAAGAATAAAAATTACTATGAAAAGCTGTA